ATAGCATTCAACAACTTTGTCAGTGACACATAAAAAAGATAGAAAACTAGTATAAACAGTAGTGGATGTTAAATGATTAAGAAAAACACGAATACTACAATGCATATAACACTTTACTTTGAAGAAGATATGCAGTTTGCTGTGGAAACACAGAGGGATTAAAGCTAGTCAGTTATTGTGAAGTGGTAGAAGGAGCTTTATCTGAAAATTTTAAGTTGTGAAGTGAAGGAAGGTGGCCGAATAGTATTTGGAGTGTGTGTGTGTTTTGTGTATTCCTATGCAGTTTGTTTTGAGCTTGATGCAGTTTCTGCATTCTACTGAACAAAAGGGCACAAAGGCAAATGTGAAATTCAGTTGTGCTCAAATTGTTTCATAATATATCATTGACATGTTAGAACATGTTTGTTTATTCAAATCAAGTAATATAGCAGAACTATCTACCTTTTTCCTATGTCAACAGTCTTCCTCTTTCGGTATGATGCACCTCAATATATTAATATATAGATTCCAAGAACTGCCAGCTTCAAAAACTACCTGTACTCCACATACTTCTGCCTTGGTCTTGCCATGGCACTTCTGAGTCTCATTCCTATATCCTCAGGCTCTGTCTTTCACAGACCCATCCTCTTGTAAGAGTTATTTTCAATATTATCTTTCCTTCCTCACCTTTTAAATCTATGGCACTTTTACTGAGTTGGGCTTATTAACTGCAATGCCATCTAGAATTTGTCCTATCAGGATGTTGAAACTGCTCTTGCTAATGACTTCCACACTGCCTAGTTGAATGAGCATCGTAGTGGCTAGAATACCAATAGAGAACAGATGGCTCATTCAAATTAGAATAGTTAAAAAATTCTTTTTATTGAGGTATAATTGACATGTAATGTTATATTAATTTCAGGTGTACAACATGATTCAATATTTGTACATATTGCAAAATGATCTCCACAACTAAGTCTAGTTAACATCCATCACCACACAGTTATAAACATTTTTTTCTTATGATGACAACTATTAAGAGTTACCCTCTCTGAGCAACTTTCAAATATGCAATGCAATACAGTTGACCCTTGAACAACATGGGGGTTAAGGGTGCCAACCCCAGCGAAGTTGAAAATCTGCGTATAACTTTTGATTCCCTCAAAACTTAACAACATTCTTCCTTCAGTATCCATGTGGATTGGTTCTAGGACTCCCCACAGCCCCATACCAAAACTCTGTGGTGCTCAAGTGCCTTATATAACATGGAATAAAACAATGTATGCAGTCAACCCCATGCATCCACAGATTCCCATCTGTTGATCAAAAACACTGATCCATATTGGTTGAATCTGTGGATGGAAAACCTCAGAATACAGATTGCACACTGTATATATATTGAAAAAATCCACGTGTAAGTAGACTCGCACAGTTCTAGTACTGCATTGTTCAAGGATCAACTGTATTATTATAGTCACTGTGCTGTATAGTACATGCCATGACTTATTTATTTTATAACTGAAAATTTGTACCTTTTGACTCCCTTCCCACCCCTGTCCCTGCCTCTGGCAACCACTAATCCATTCTCGGTATCCATAAACATGATTTTTAAAAAAATTCCACATATAAGTGAGATCATATGGTATTTGTCCTTCTCTGTCTGGTTTATTTCACTTAGCACAGTGCTTTCAAGGTCCACCCACATTATCACAAATGGCAAGATTTCGTTATTTTTTATGGTTGAATAATATTCCACCACATATATATGGTGGAATTTTATCTACACTAATAAAGAGAAACATGCAAATTGGTGTCACTCTGCTATGCCCACCAGCCAATCAGATGAGTATGCAAATTAACCCAACAAAGATGGCAGTTAATTTGCATATGCAGGCGCAGAGTGAAGACTGAAGACTGAAGACTGAAGACTAAAGAGGCTTGGCTTCTCCTCTGTGGTCGGACCAAAGGCCTGGGTCCCAGATGAATCTTCGTGCAATGGGCTTCTAGTATATATATAAAATCTCACATTTTCTTTATTCATTCACCTATCGATGGATACTTATGTTGTTTTCTTTTTCATTGTAAATAATACTACAGTGAGCATGAGGGTGCATATATCTTTTCAAATTAGTGTTTTGTTTTCTTTAGATAAATACCCAGAATTGGAATCACTGGGTCATATGGTAGTTCTATTTTTAATTTTTTGAGAAACCTTCATACTGTTTTTTATAGTGGTTGTACCATCTTATATTTCCACCAACAGTACACAAGAGATCCCTTTCTCTACAACTTTGTCAACACTGGTTATTTCTCAAATTAGAATACTTTGAGAAGGGATTACTTACAAAGAGCCTATTTATAAGGATGTGATCAGTAAAAGCTCCAAAGTGATAGTACAGTTACCTAGGGCTAAAAATAGCACTTGTCACCACCTCTAGACCTGAAAGGATGAGTGACCCTGAAATCCTGAAGTAGAGAGTTGGCATAGAGAGGTTACTTCCAGAAGAGCTTTTTGAATTTATTCTATCTTTTTGGGTGTGAGTTGGGCTTATTAACGTCAATGCCACTCTTCGTGTTGGTTTTGCTCAAATAGATGGTTGTATCTGGTGTTAAAGAAAAATTGCACTACACAAGGATGAGCAAACAGAAGTTGATTTTATACTGATACTATTGCCAGCAATGGGGAAGAGAACACAGACAAGTCTGAATACCCATTTCTGTTAAAACAAAAGACCAGATTGGGCTGAGGTAAGGTGTCAGGTACAATGGGTTTAAGCCCTGGGGTGAGCTAGTGGAAAAATACTGAAGGACTTTAGTAGGAGGTTGATCAATGAGATGTGTCAAGCACATTGAGTTATTCCTGAGATTGCACATCTTGTTGTCTGTGATGAGGCCATCTGTGTTTGCTAATTGGCGCCCAAGGAAGTTAGGCTCCTACTCTCCACAGAGACAGAGAGATGGAGTATCTCCTTCAATGTTTACATTTCAGGAGATAGTTTCCAGGTCCTTGAGAAAGACATTTCCTGGGTGTATAACTGGCAAGAAGATAGGAGATGATTTATATACATTATAAAGGGGCAGTGAATGAATCTACAATTACATGTTTTCTGAAGCAAATGCTATAAGAAAAGAGAGGCCAAGGGTTTATAGTCAGGAAGAAACTTGTCTTAGATCAAGCCATCTTGGTCATTGGTTAGTTGATTTCTTTTCTAGTAGGCAATCTCTGGATGCTGTTGCATTTATTTGATGCAATCTGTTGTAGGGGAGGTAAGAGGTGTGCTAATAGCTTGATTTATGGTTGAAGCTCATGGGGCATGGTTGTTTATAGCCATGTTGATCACTGCCCTGTTTTCTGACCCAATCTCCAATATTCTGGGCACACCCACCACTATTGCTTGACTTTTAGCCCACTTCTTGATCCAAGAATGTATGTGCAGGAGGATAGACATGCCTGACTACTCCTGCTGTCTTACCCACTAATCCCCAGGTTGTTTTTTTCATAGCCTTCTGTTTCTATTAGTATCAGACATTTCTTATCTGAATATACCTTATTTTTGTATTAGTGCTTTCTCCTATACCTTTTGGCATCTATTCTTTCATAATTCCATCACAGTTACCTTTCATTTTTGGAGTTTCCCTAATTTTTTTGATTAATATGTGAAACACATCTTTTTTTTCCACACCAAATATACCTAGTGTTTCAGCAATTTTGTTAAGTAGAATATTAAGTTGGTTAGGTTTTAATATGATGTAAGGTGAGCTGCAGCTTGCTAAAATTAAGATATATTATGCTAAGTGAAATAAACCAGTCAATGAAAGAAAAATACCACATGATCTCACTTATTTATGGACAATAAAGAACATTATAAACTGATGAACAAAAATAGATACAGAGGCAGAGCAGCATCGAACAGACTGTCAAACTACAGTGGGAAGGCTAGGGAGGTTTGGGGTGGGGGTGGTAAGAGATCAACTGAAGGACTTGTATGCATGCATATAAGCATAACCAATGGACGAAAGGTACTGGGGGGGTAGAGGAGGCTGGGGGAAGGTCAATGGGGAAAAAAGGAAACATATGTACTACATTTTTGTAACACTTTAAGCAATAAAATAAAATTTAAAAAGGGTATGTTGAGTCATAAATTATTGTCAAGTTATAGCTAAATAAAATCACAGATTTGTCAGAACATTTGGGAAATTTGCTTCTTGACTGTAAAAGAACATGGTCAGGAAAATAAGTAGTTCAGGCTGAACAGTAATTTACATTCTTACGTTTGGTAACAATAAATTTACATATTGATAAAAAAATGTGAAATTTTAATCAAGAAGGATTTGGAAATAATAATGTGTTGTTCAGGCCACTAAAAAGTCCATGGAGAGAATAGCATAGATTTCCAAAGGAAGAACACAGGCAAGCATTTCTTAGATGGGCTTATTCTTTACAGCTGACATCACAAGGTAACTCAGAAAATCTATAAATACCTAAAATTACCTTCTCTAACAGAATGTCAGTCTGCTCTGGGAAAGATTGTTCTCTGTGATAGTTTTCAACAATCAACTTACCCAAAGGAAGGGTGGGTCTGCTCAATGGGTTTCTTCATGGAATTAGAGAAACTAAATGATGATGTCAATATAATAAGATGCAAATTTATCTATTTTTTGACTACAGACAATAAATTGCTGATGTTATCGAAAATGGATCTCAGATGACTAAATAATAAAAGGAGTCTCAGTATGGTGCGCAAAAGAATGTGGAATATTATGAACTTGGAAAAGGATAATTTAAAGAGGAGCATATTTATACTCATCAGAAAAACCCTTTTCTGACTTCCGAAGTGACTAGAATCAGCAGATGGATGCTCTAATCCATTTTCTGGGGGAGTCTTCCTAAGTATGTGAGATGAGAGGTCATGAGGTTATTCTAATGATGCTATAATGGGCAATAAGCAAATAAATAGATAAGTGTTCAGATGAATCCACTGACTTCCTCTGAAGCTCAAAATATTTCTGTTTGTCAACAGGGCTAACCAGAGACGTGAGACCACGATGGAACACTATCCAGACTGACATGACGCTCTCAGTGGATTTCATGGCCCAGGAGGGTACTGACGTGTCTTGAAAAATGGGATAGGCACATATTCTAGATTTGGATTTGCATTTTTGGTAATGGAAACAAATACTTCAAATATCATCAGAGGATTAGAACAAAAATATTTTAATGGGCTCTCTGTTTATGTATCCTCATATCGAGGGATGCCTTTTACTGCCTTACACCATAAATCCAAAAAAAAGAAAAGATTAATATATTACCTGGAGTGATTAATTCTAATTACCAAAGAGCAAATTAGATTGCATCTATAGAATGGAAGGTAGTAGACTGTGTTGGAAATGCAGGGTATTCTCTGAGGTACCTCTTAGTACTTTCCATGCCCAACAGTAAAGGTTAATAGAAAAGTATACCAATGAAAAAAGATGCTAAATCCACAGCAGGATTCTAAATCTTTAACAGGATGAATGAGAATTCAGACCCTTTAGGAATAAAGGTTTTGGTTACTCTACCAACTTTTGACAAAGTTGGAAGATATATGGCACATATCAATTATGAACTAGTAAACAATTATAGGCATTTAAACTAGTAGCTTTGAATATTTTCTATTTGCTTTTTATATGCAAGATTTTATTTCTATATACTATAATTTTCTTTTCTCTCCTTTCAATTTTTATTTTATATATACATAATTAGAAATTAACTTCATAATTTAGTCTCTAGGTGACAGAATTATTCAATGGGACTGTGACTGAATTTGAGGAATAGGTAATATATCCAGCAATGCATATAATGACTGTTGGAACTGTGCATCTTGTTACTGTTGGGAAAAATTGAAAATTTCTTCCTTTGTATGAAGAATAGTTTTAGCATTTAAAATTCGGTTGTTTCATTGTTGTAAGAGAATTCAAAATGTATATAAAAGGGTCTATATGGAAGTTGAGTAGTCAAAGGTGTGAGTCTTGCTGGTAATCAACTTATTGTGACTCAGTTACCAACTCATGCTTTTTGGCTTGCTCTGTGAAAGTGGATCTGGCCCCTGTAAATGCCTTTGTCAGCAGGAATGATGCTCAATTTTGTTAGCAGGAAAAGAATGAAGAAAAATTGCAAGAAGTAAGTTGCATGTTTTTTTTTTAAATTGAGGTGAAATTCACATAACATAACATTAGCATTGTAACCATTTTAGAGTGGCTTCCAGTACTTTCACAATGTTGTGCAGCTCTCACTTCTAATTACAGAAATTTTCAACACCTTCAAAAGAAACCCTGTACCTATTGAACAGTTGTTCCCCACTTTTCCTTTCCCTTCACCCATGGCAGCCACTTATCTTCTTTCTGTCCTATGGATTTGCCTATTTTGGACATTTCATATAAATGGAATAATAAAATGTGTCTTTTGCTGTCTGTCTTCTTTCAGATAGCATAATTACTTCTTTACTTTTTTTCTACTATTATTCCATTGTATGGATATATCACATTTTGTTTACCCATTCAACAGGTGATGCACTTTTGGGTTGTTTTCATTTCTTGGTATTATGATGTGGCTTCTTATTTTGGGAAAAAGGTTTTGTGAGGACATATGTTTTCAATTTCTTTTGGGTATGCACCTAAGTGTGGAATAGCTAGGTTCTATGGTAACTCTTGTTCAGTCATTGGAGAAGCTGCCAGGTGCTTTTCTAAAAGAGCTGCCCCAGTTGACGTTCCCACCATCAGTGTATGAGCTCATGGTTTCTGTTGTTGCTTCAGTCCCAGCGCTGATTCTAAGAGGTTGTTCTCCAAGGTGAAATCATATACAAATCTCCTGAGGTCATTCTTCAGACCATGGCCCAGGATATTTTCTGTGCTATATAGGATTCAGCAGACCTATGCCTCCTGACTGACTGTATCATGAATGAAGTGTTTATTAAGCATGTATTATGCACAGAGTTGTGTACTAAGCTCAGAGAAGGTACAACATGAACATGGTTGAGGGATCCTTGTAATCAAAAGTATGCATTTTTATGAGATGTGCAAATGGTAAAATTAATTTATACTTAATTAATTGGTTATTTGGAACTACTTTTCTAGAGCATTTTCTCAGGCCATTTTTTTTGTTTTCACTTCCTAGGAAGAACACTTCACCACACAAGTAAATGAAATTTTCCATGTATATATTACATCTGAATGTATGGTAGCTGTGTATAAATGTGTTGATCTCTAGGTGCAACAATGGTCTGAGATATTTCATTTTTTACTCTTTTTTTTTAGTAATAGACAATTGAATTATACTTTTCAAATGCTTATTAAATAAGTGAGGCTGACAGTTTTCATGATGTTATTGTATTTTTTCCCAATTTTTTACAATCTAGGCCTATTCAGAGCCACAACCTCTGTCGTATTAACATCTGTATGGCCTTATAAAGCTAAGGTTACTTCTGATGTGGGTGGAGAATTCACCCACCCATGTATCCTCTGGAAACCCAGTCTGAGCTCTCCCATCCTGAGAGCATAGACCATGGGGTTGAGAGCAGGGGGGATAACATTGTGCAGCACATTAAGGAGTACAGGGATAAGGGGAATCTTTTCTTTTACAAGGTGTGTCACAGATACTACAATGATACCTGAGTAGAAGAAGAGGATGAGGATGAGGTGGGAGCTGCAGGTGCTCAGAGCCTTGGACATTGCTTCTGCTGAGTTCAGCCTCAGCACAGTGTGAAGGATCAGTACATAGGAAGAAAAAACCAGAGCCATATCACTCCCAACTAGGACCCACGCTAAGAACAGTTGGTAAAATTTGTTCACAGTGATGTCATCACAAGCCAGGCTGATGACCCCCAAGTTAGAGCACAGGCAGTGGTCAATTTCATTCTTGGAGCAGTAGAGTCTTTGGGCAGCCAGGACAGGCACTGGAATGGTCAACAAGCTATTTCTGAGCACCATGAATCCTGTGACTTTGACCATAAAAGCATTAGTGACTATGGAGGGGTATCGAAGAGGGTGACAGATGGCTATGTATCTGTCCACTGCCATGCAGAGGAAGATACCAGACTCCATACCAAAGAAGCAGTGGATGACATACATCTGAGCAAAACATTCAGGGAGGCTGATGGCCTTGGCATCAAACCAGAAGATAGCCATAATCTTGGGCATAATGGTGGTGGCTAAGCCAATGTCGATGAGTGACAATACACCAAGGAAATGGTACATGGGCTCATGTAGTGTGGGCTCATGTTGTATGGTGATGAATATGAGGAGATTGGCAGCAAGAGCTAATAGGTAGAGCAGAGCCAGGGGCAGGGAGAGCCAGTGCTGCCACTTGTGAATGCCTGGAAGCCCCATCAAGATGAACTGGGAGATGTGGAGGCTGGAACTGTTGGTAACACTGGTGGAGGTGTCCATGGCACAGGTGCCCTGTTCTCAGTGTCTGTCCATAAAACTGAAATAGGAAGGACGTTGTATTTGACAGTTCAGCTGAGGGCCCTAATTAGAGAGTCCTACCAATGACCCAGTTTCTTATTTCTTATTTTTTAAAATTTATTTTTTCCTCATCACCTTTTATTCCCTCTGTGTCCTCTAATACCTCCTCTGATCACCCTCCACCCTGGTAATCACCACACTGTTGTCCATGAATGACCCAGTTTCTTTAATTGTGAAAGACTGTCAACTTTTTTTTTTTGGCTCTTGGAAATATTCTACAGAGGAGCAATAAAAAAAAGCCAAGATCAGTCCTAAACAGAAAGGTTGGAATAGCAGTTTGTCATCACCACTTGAATGCCTAATGAGCATGTCCAAATCCATCAACAATAATCTTATCAACAACAGATAACAAATATTCATATTTGTTTTACTGACTTCCATTTTTCTGTTTTGGGGTTAAGCAGTTTATATCATTTGGAGATAATTTTGTATCTTACCTTTGACTTCAGCAATATGTTCTGAGACCTAAAAAAGGAGCTCAGTAAAAATTTACTACATGAATAAATAAATGAAACATGACATTCCAGTATCATTAAAAGCAATCAACTTCTTAATTTTAATGAGCACTTTATATTCTTATATTAGACTGTTTCACAAATTACTAACCAATATTTTACTTTTCAGATTATTTCCTTTGAGTAGAATTTCAAAAATGATGCAAAAGTGATACATATAAAGAACCTCACCATCTTCATTTTTGCAGTATTTAGATATTATTTTAAATGTCATCCATGCCCATAATAAAAATAAACACAATTTTATATAATAAAAGGCTACTATGCAAATAGACTGACTGGCGGAACAACTGAACAACCGGTCACTATGGCATGCGCTCACCACCAGGGGGCGTTGGGCGCAGCGGGATGGTGGAGCAGGTGAGTGAGGGTGCCAGACCAAGGTGGGTCATCGGTCACTGTCATCAGGGTGAGCCTCTGGTCATTACTGAAAATTCTTGCCTGGCGCTCGCACCCGCTGTTGGCACCTGAGCTGCTGCTTGCACCCACTGCCAATGTCAGCCCCACTCGCACCCGCAGCCAGCGCCGGAGCCGCTGCTCACACCCACTGCTGGCACCCAGCGCTGGTCCTGATCGCTTCCATCAGCAGGTGCAAGAGGGGCTGGCACAGTCAGCATGCAGGAGCAGCGGCTGCAGGAGAGGGCTGCTGGCAGAGAGGGGACTAGGGGCCGTGGCAGGAAGGACTGGGTGGGGGCACCAAAGATGGGCCGAGACCCACCCTTGTGCTCACTGTAGCCTTGAGGCCCACAGTTCCTTTCAAGGTTTATGAATTCGTGCACTGGGCCCCTAGTAAAAAAGAAAAACCCATGCTTTGGATTCCCAAGTTCCTTTCTTTTCACCAAAGGCAACCAGTAATTATTTCTTGGGAATCCTCCTGGAGATAGTTTTAGTATAGATATGAATATATTTTCCCATAAGAGACAAAAACAAATGTTAGCATACCAATCATACCTTTCTTATACTTTGTTTTCTTGACTTTCCTTTTTTAGCGTAGTTATCTTAGAGGCTGTTCCATATTGATATACCTCCTTGTTGTTAAGTTGCATGATTTTCTACCACATGGATGTCTGATATTTTTATGAGGACTTTGGATGAACATGGTATTTCCAGTATTTTCCACTGTAAAAATGATTCAAAATGTATTTGTTCACATGTCTTTAAGCATATGTGTAAGTTTATCTACAGGAAAATTGCCAAGAAGTGAATTACTGGGCAAAATGAAAAAAAAAGATTTTGATTGATATTGCCAAATAATCTTTCCAAGAGGTTTTTCTGGTCCTGTTTGGCAGTAGGGCATTTTTAATGCTCTTGACATACACTGAAAGGTTGCTTCATAGATTCATCGGAGTTTTTTACACACTCAGAATTTGGTCATGATATGTCTGTTTCTTCATATCCACACCACAATTGGAAACTTTAATTTAAAAACCTTTATTAATAGAATAAATAAAGATTGAAATTTCAATTTCGGTTGACCTTTCCTTGATTTATTTAGTGAACTTTGACATTTTCAAAGTTTTTTTTCCCATTTTTATACTTAGTCAATCTTCTCTTTTTGCTTTATGTTCACCTCATCTTGTAGTATTAAATGAAATAATGTTCTTCAAGGGATTAACATGGAATCTGGCAGCACATGCTATTAATTTGTATGAGTTTCATTATATCTTGAAATTATTACCTTCATGTGTTGAATTTCCTGGAAGTATTTCCTCCCATTCATCTTCCCTTAAAATCTATCCTTAAAAAAATTTACACTTGTGCATACACTAAAACTTTATATATTCATAACAAGTGCATTTCTAGAATTAATGATTTATTGATTTTAAGTTTTAAATAATGTAAAACGCAGCATTTTAATAAGTATTTACTTGCATTTTCTTTACAAACATTTTTAAAAAATTAATTTTGTAACCAATTTGAGACTTGACATGGAGTGAGAAAGTCTCTAAATCAATTTCACCCACAAATGGCTAAACCATTATTCCAGCAGCATTTAGTAAAGAAGCCTTCCCCTTGCATTAAGTTACAATGTGCTTTATTGTCAAACATTCAATCCAAACACATATTAAGGAGTATTGCCAGACTGGACAGTCTTTTCTGTTTTCAGTTTTAGTACCAATCGGATGAGTGTATTGATGGTAGGGAATAGCCTTACTAATGATTTCAAATAATATTTTTAAATAAAAAATGACTGGTTGCCTTAACCGGTTTGGCTCAATGGATAGAGCGTCAGCCTGCAGACTCAAGGGTCCTGGGTTCGATTTCCGTCCAGGGCATGTACCTTGGTTGTGGGCACATACCCAGTAGGGAGTGTGCAGGAGGCAGCTGATCAATGTTTCTCTCTCATTGATGTTTCTAACTCTCTATCCCTCTCCCTTCCTCTCTGTAAAAAAAATCAATAAAATATATTTTTAAAAAAAGACTGGTTATGAT